GATGGTTATCTTCTCCTCAGGGCTGACTTTGGGAGGATGAGTGGCAAGCATCTAGCCTGTGCTAATGGATTCCTCAAAGTAAAACACCCTCACTACTGAAATAGGGAGTCTTTCTTGGGATGTTTACTGAGAACGTCACTTTGTCTTTGTAAACCACCCCCTCCTCAAATTATATTCCCTAGAAGGAGTTAAGTATTTACCTTGCCCGGGTACTTCAGCTCCATTTTTGATACGAGTTAAAATAAACTGCTGGATAAAAATGAATTTTAAATAAAAAATTTTGTAGTTGATTCTGTGATGTCTCAGAAGCATTTAGGTAAATGAAAAGCAGAAAATATATATTTTTAAAGTTTATCGTTAAACTTGAAATAGTGCTAAAAGTTTTATATATAATGACCAAGAAAAAATAAATTGCTTAATTTTGTAAATGCTATACTTACTAGTCTAATAATAAATTAAAATCACAAGGTCATCATTTTTCTATGTCTTTTGACTCAGATAAAAGCTCCAAAATGTAATGCTCTATGGACAGTATGTGGTTTTACATAATTTTTATGAAATATTACCATATTAATCTTAACCATCTTTATTATGCTCCCTGCTCTTGAAACAACATTAAAAACCTTTTATATCATGATTATCCCTGGTTATATAAACTTATTGGGGAAAATATTTGGTTATTAAGTACTGTACCAGAGGGCTTAATTTAATCCTCAACTGCAAAAATTTGACACTAGTTATGAGTGAAAATCCAACTTATCTAATCAACAACAACAAGAATTTTTCATACAATACAGAGGACAATGTGAATGTAATTATTGAATTCTAAATATGGTTTTTACTTAAAAACTATATAGCAAGCATCCTTCACAGTAGTTGGTGTGCTATCACATTGAATTTGATAAAAAATTCTTCATGAAGACACAGTAAATCAGGCATAAAGAACTTTAAGCGTATAAGATAATTGTTAAACAAGTGACATGTTACACACATGGGATACAACAATTATAGAAATACATTTCATGAAAAACTTAATGACACTCTAACTCCAAAGTTTATAAAGAAAATGTAAGATAATAGAAATATGTGGCAACTGGGAGGGAGCTTTTTGTCCCTCTTTAATTGCAGTGGTCTCTAGAAAACAATCCCAATTGAATTTGGGGAGATAACAGTGTTTCCATGCCTTTGCAGTTCATTTCTTGTAGTACATAAGGTAAGAGAATAGACTTATATTAACAGTATTTTCTGTTTACCTATTGTCTCTTAAAAAAAAATCTAACATCTATTCTTTTGCTTCATGCCATTTGAAACTGATTGCACATGACCTAATTGAATGTACTCTTTTTTTGACTTGTAACTTCTAGGAAGTAGAAAAGTCGTCTGTTGTATTAACTAGAATTGAAAAGCGCTCTAAATTATAATCACTATCCAGATTTTTTTGAAATGCATGTGATTACTATTATGATTTATATCAAGTGAAACATTCTGTTATTACGCTGGTATTAAAATAATAATAGCTCTCCTCAGGATTTGTGACCATGGTTTCTTCGGGGGGTTGTCATTCTGATATTTCCGGTTTATGTATATTCAAACTATATTTTAAAGGCACATTTACCTGTATCATCATTACAACAATGTATACTGGGAATGAAATTCAATATCATTGTGCCTAATACTTTTTCAACTAACCCATCAATGATTTGTAAGTTATTTAATATCCAAGAAATGCTCCAAGCCTTGGAGATTTTAGAAGTCATTTTTCTCAGAAACTGAAGTCATATTTTGCCAAAAATAAATAAATTCAACTATGAAACTTCATGAGTTTGTAGAAATTCAGAAATAATGAAATTTAAATGGATTCTATATTTGATAAGATTATTATCTCATTCTCTTGATAACAGATTTCAGTAACATTGATGACATTTTACATTAAATCTTTGAAATATAAAAAAAATACATATTCTATGTACAGCATAAAACAGTCACAACACATTCTTTTTATAAGACTTCTTCTCATTTGTGTTATTAGCACATAATGAGGTAAGTAGTTGACCCTTTGTTCCAGATTGGCAGATTTGGGGAACACCTACTTCTTTACCTTGTTCCACGAAGGTAACCATCAAGGGAAGAAGATACAGATCCAGACCTCTTAGCTTAGAAGGATTCCCGTAGGCAAGTGTAGAAAGCAATGTGCACAATCTATTATTCCACTCCCTTGGTTTTTCATAAAAACTGGTGTTGGTTTGCTTTTCCTCCCAGGTAATATTTATTCTTAGAACAAACTTAGCCTTAATAAGTGTAAATAAAATTGGAAACTCGAAAGTTTCTTTGTTAGAAACTCAACTCATCCAGGCAGCCGTAAAGCACATATGGGCTTTAAAATCAGCCTTTTTTCACACTGCACTTGTAGCTCAGGGACAGTTGTTTCATGAACCGTAATCTCTTTGGCTGAGCTGACACTGAGTGACATTCAACAACGATACAAAGCCTCTTCTTTCAGACCTCTAACCAGATGACAGCAGGGATGAGAGTGGCCCTTATTGTAGATACCTGTGCGATAAAATACATCCCACGGGCTGATAAACAGGTGCCAGGTGGTATTGTTCAGAGCACTGGTTCTCAAAGGTGCTTCAGAATCACCTGCAGGGCTTGTTAACACAGATTCCTGAAGCCACCCCCAAAGTTTCTGACTCAGCAGATCTGGGGTTGGGCAGAAATTTGCATGTGTCATAAGATCTCAGGTGATGCTGATGATGCAGGAACCATACTTTGAGGATCACTGATTTAGAGCAAAGGAATTCCGACTTCTGAGTCTGTCCTCGGCAATCACATACCTGCGGCCTCTCTCTCTTTTTCTCTCCCCTTCCTGCTCTCTCTTCCTTTCTCAAGTTCTCTCATTCTTACATGATAAAGAACTAGATATATTAGGGTCTCAAGGATTTAGCTCTTACTCTGAGATATTACTTAGCTATTAAGGCATTTCATCAATATTATCTGAAGTTATCTTAAAGTATTTAAAGTGCTAGCTTCCATCACAAACTGAAAGTTACAACTCTCCGTGCAGCAAAAATAAGAAAATCATTCTCAACCGTACAAAGGGGAGAAAGAAAAAATTTAAAATACTTTGTTTTCATTGATATTGTTTTGCTAACTAGCAATATAATTTCAATAAACCTCATATGCGAGAGCAGCTTTTGCTTTGAGTAGTAAAAAGCACAAGGTAGTCCCCAATTCTAAACTATGAAAACGGCTTGTGGATAATTTGGTTGTGTTACTACTTCTGAAAGTGATGATTTGGGTAAAAGCAAGAAAAGAACAAGATAATTTTTATCGACTCTAAAATTCTTTCTTAAATGTTGTGCCCCATAGCCTTAGTTTCAATAAAATCAGAACACCTGCTACCATCATACGGGAAGAGCAAGTTTTCATGAAAATTTTTTTTTACTTTCAATTTAATGTTGAAGTGAATATTTGAACGATAAAAATTTTGCAGGGAAACAAATCTGAACTACTCAGAGCTTTGAAGCCCAGGGCTTTACATTTGTACAAAATATGCTGCGGTCCTACTCATCCACCCCCTGTAGGGCGAGGGCGAGCCCCTCCGTTAGCCTAAGCACCAGGCTCTCAGCGCAATTCCCTGACATCGACAGTGTCACTGTAACTAAATAGAAACGAAAAAGTGCCAACCTCCCGTGAGGAACAGCCTGCGGCTGCATCGCTGCTCCTGGGCGTGGAATCCGTCCCCGGGCCGCTTCGTGCCCTGCGGCCTCCCCCAGCCTGTCCCCCTCAGCAGACCTGAGCTCTTTTAAAGGCACATTTACGTCCACCCCGCCTCCTTTCCTAGCACCTAGCACAGCTGGTGCTTTCTGGTAGGGGTTTGATAAATGTTTATGGAATTTAAATTAATGCAAAGGTTTACCATCACATTTCCATGGCATTAATCTGTCCAGAGGGTGCTGTCTGGTAGGTGTTTGATAAATGTTTATGGGATTTAAATAAAGGCAAATGTTTACCATCAAATCCTCGTGGCATTGACCTGCGCAATACGGAACCCAGGTGTGATTTAGCAGTCCACTCTCCTTTGCTTTGTCCGTTGCATTTTTAATTTAATCCACCAAGGCCAACTACATCGCTTTCACTGGTTAGAAGTGTATAAGAATGTGATTTTATCTTATGCTTAAATGCTGAAGTTTTAGAGATGTAAATTATTATGTATTTGTAATCACTCCAAAATTTTTATTCTAATACTGCATCTTACTGACCATATGTTGAGATAAGAAATGTTAGCAATGGCAAAGTTACAAACCTGAGAAAATTGTTTTATTGTGTTACTGAGCAATAAAATTCATGAAAAATAAAGTTTAATAGTATTTATTTTTATAGTTTTGAAAGGTAGCTTTTGAGTTATCTAATATAATATGCTATTTTGTAAATAAATATTCTCTCAGATGTCACATCATAATGACAGTCCTTTGTGATTTTTTTAAAACGATGAAGGCAGCTAACATGTCTTTAATTCAGTTAGTAATTGCTATTTCTTTTAGTTGCCAAGAGAAAATTATTGGAGAACTTTTGGTAATTTTCAGCAACCAGTTTAAGTGTGAAATTGAAATAACAATTCGAATTGGAAATACTTAAGCATTTCATTGACACAAATCATATCATACAGGAAGCTGAAAGTGAAAATAGCCTGAAGTGAATTCAGTTGGTTAAACATCTAACACATTTAAATCAAAAGTTGAGAAATTCGTTTAAACCGACTTTTATTTCCAAAGAGCAATAGGTTTCTCTTTTTCAAAAATGGGTCCACAAAGTAATTTTAGCTTCAGATTGTTCAGATAATAAAATTTCTGTGAACAGCATTTAAAAAAAAAAAAAAAAGCCTTACAATAGTACACAGAGTACTCTTATGTATAATAAACATACCAATTAACGTTTCTTTTATTGTTTATAACCCAATTCCAAGGGAATCTACTAAAAGCAAACCTAAATTNAATATTCTACCAGTTCTGAAGCAGCCCTGCTCCGTTGGCTGCCGGGAGTGTGCTTATACTGGTGAGCACGACTTGCTCTGAGAGTTTTGATATGTTTTCGAAGTTGCTGACCTGGGTGGTCAGGGACTTTCTGCTCTCGGTGCTCGTCCGCCCCCTGGCGAGCCGGGCCTCCTGGCGGTGCTGGACCCCCAGGCAGCAGCAGGAGAACGCAGCTTTGAATTCCTCTCGAAATTTTCCTGGCAAGCCGGAGAGAAGGAAAGGAAAAAGGATTGTGCGTAAATATGTTTTAACAAATCCTGAGTAGGGTACAAGTGAGTTGCTCCCTTGAGCCAAGCGAACAATGAGGTGCCACATTTTGCAAAAATGGGGAAAATAGGAAAAGGAAATTGCGTTATTGGAAGCTTGGTAGACGCTTGAAACAATGAGGTATTTTCATAAAATAATGAGACGGCTTTTCATATATGATATTTGGAGCCTGTTTTCATTCTTTTTTGAGTCAAACCTTCTATATTGGTGAATGTGGGTTGTTTTTAAGTAGTTAACTGTAATAAAAGTGATCACCAGTAGACGAATGCCCGAGGTATTTAATAATTTCAAAAATGATAAAACTTATGTTGTATACAGCCCAAACGATACAGACATTATCTAATTGCACTCTGAAGAAACTGTTCCACTGAAACAATCAATTGAACAAAATATCTAGAAAAATATCTGAAAATACCTACAAAGCCTCTAAAGTTTTGTAATCCGCACAGGCAGAACCAGACTTAAAACAAAAACAACTTTAGAAGTTACTGCCTTTGAATTACTAACATGAAATTAGAGAGGTAGGAAAATGAAACAATTACCTTTCTAAGGGGAAATGGCAGTGCTGGGAATCATATTTTCTTTGAGCCTCAATGACCAGACTGGGTTATTGGGTGATTAAATGTGAAGATAAAAGTTAAGGGCCGGCACAATAGCAGGGACAGAGGTCCCCAGTGATTACCAGCCGCTTTCTCTTCCTCTCTCTTAACCGCATAATAGCACTTTGATTTGCTCTGTGGCTTCTGTTTCACAAACACTTCCTCCTACAACCTCCTAATAAGTTTTACCCGCTTAGTGCAAGGCTCGGGGCTTCAGTCACCCACCCCCTTGCCAATTGCTTTCCCAGTGCTTTCTAAGCCACAGCTCTGCACGGCCCCTTCTCCCTCCGAGCAGCACTGAGCGTCTTTTCTGGTTGTCTCAGGTGGAATGTAGTCTTTGTTTTGGAAACGAGAATTGGGTGGGGCAGGGGGAGGCGTGACAAGGGGGAACTAAACACAGAACAAACCTCTCACTCACTCCACCTGATTTTCTGCAAGGTGAAATAAGAGATGTAATACACATAGGGTATATGCAATGTTTATAAAACAAAGTTATTTTTAAAAGCCTATTTTTTAAAATTTTTATAGCCCAGAAGAAATATGAAGTTAAAAATGTACATGCTTTATTAAATGTGCAATAAAATAATTTGCTTATTACTCCATATATAATTAGCATATATTTGGAGGTAGAGATGAAAAAGAAATAGCCGCCCAGTTAGAGAATAAGATGATGTAAAGATGAAGGTAATTAAAACACAGTTCTAAAAGTCAATCAGGCAAAATGCTTGTAAATAAAACAATAATTAGTTAAATAATTTTTTATCATTGTATAGATTCATAAACAGGTTATATAAGTTACAGGTGTGTGTGTGTGTGTGTGTGTGATTTAGCTTAGGTGTTATTTAGGAGGAATATCATTTTTTGTGGTCAGTGAGAAATCTTGAGAAAACCCTAAGAGATGTTACCCACAAGATTACTGTAAATAGAAAAGTACCTAAACGTGGAAAGGTTCTAATGCAATCTCCATTCGGCTACATATGTTGGTCAAGGCAATAATGTAGCATGGCTGTTTTATTTTCAGATAAACTTATTTTACATTTTTATAAATTAAACTTAAATGTATGGCAAGCAAGATTCTGTGGTATTCAGTTCTCACAATTTTCACTTTCCTCCTCTCGATAGAGGCACTTATAATTTCCATAGATTGAGCATCTGAATTAATCTGAAATATAATCATATTACTTATCAATTGTAGAACACATATGTGAGCAGTGGTTTTAGTTTCTTTTTCCTTAAGTGTCTTTCTCCTAGGACTTGGGGCCCATACACTCCCCTTGATCCCAGACGAAGCAGTTAAGGAGGTGACATAGCTGTGAACAGTGTGTCACTGAACAGGCCTGGTCAGGCCAACCCAACAAGGAGTCAAGATATCATCTTACCGAGACATCGCCAGATGGCCAAGAACAAAAGGATGATTTCTGCACACTTCCGGGACTGCACATAGCTGCATTCTGTTCCCAGCCTCAGTTTACCCCATTTCCCTATATAACCCTATCCCTCAGGCCATCCCTTAAGACAGGTTTGGATGCTCGTATGCTCCCTGTCTCCTTGGTTGGCTGGACTTCTCTATAAGCGCCTTATAGGATTCAACCCTGCCTCCTTTGAATTAGACACAGTGACAGGCAGCCTGAACACCACTGGGGCTTCCCGGTAACAGTGTTCCCACATATCTTCTAAATTTTATGGGGGGATAATCCCTTCGATAATTTTCTCTGATGGCTTAGGCTACATGTTCCTGCTCATAAGGGAAAAACCTCAAGACAGATCAGATTGGGGGAAAAAAATCTCGTTATATAACATCTAAGCTCTCCATCCAGTTCAAGAGTGTTCAAAACCTCTCTGGTCATTGGTCCCTCACCTTGATTAGAACTGTGGTTTATACAGAAGAAACAGTTGGAAACTTACCACTGAGAAAATTATAAATAATTGGGTTTGCAGCACTATTGGCATACACAAGCCAGTGGGAAAATGTAAACCAGGCATATACAGTCTCTCTGTCTTCTGTGTGAGTAAACATCCCAAATACTCTGTGAGAAAAGAAACGATAACAGGAAATCAATTGTGATTCTGGCGAATGCCTTTTTAATAATTAAAATCAAAATGAAAAAACCCTTGATAGAAGCTGCCTTACCCCTGCTGCATTGACCACTGATAGGTTTATGGCACTAGAGTAGGTTTAGAATAACTTCAGCACGTGAACAAAAGCTCTACGGCACAATTAGTAAATCAAAAAGTCAAATCAGGTTAGAGAAGAAGGTCTCCCCTGTAAACAGCAAATGCAATACTACTTCATACAGGTAACTACAGGAGTTACATATCTATCTATCTATCTCCCTTTTTAAATTTGTCTCTAAATACAATTGAGCAGTGTTTGTTAATATTCCATTGTGTGTGTCGTTTAAAAAGCAGTCCTAAATTTTAGTCTTATAGAAACTTCTTTCCATTTTTCTTTTGTGCATTGGTCAAAGTATTAAATTTCTTCAGCTCCGATATTTCCAGGCATGCTGAAATTTGTGTCTGGGACTTCTTTATACCCAGAGAAGAACTGGCTTTCAGTAGGCAAAATTCTGGTAATTTCTTAAAATTCACACATTTTAATGTTTATATTTTTAACTCTGAAAAATATTTCGTTATGATATCCTTAATGGTTATTTTTGAGATTTCTTTCATTTTAAAAAATATCACGTGTATCTAATTCTATTCACTAGCCAACAGAGGGTAACTTTCAACTACTGTACCCAATACATGTATAGGCTAAAGATTACATGCGCTCCCTGCCAGAATGTCGCCTTTGTGTAATTTGTGTACGTGATAGAAATGCATTTCCGGAATAAAGTGTTGCTCTGTGGAGCGCTGGAGTTTTGTTAAACTACAATATGGAGTGAAACATGACCAAAGGGAATTAATAATGTTATGACTCTCACAATACAGCTTTGAAATCCTGGTCAAATCAGAACGACTTGAAAAGGTCAGTTTTGGCTAGTCAGGCAAAAAATTAAGTTCCTTGGAAAGGAATTTAGAAACTTATTTGAGAAAGAAAATAAGTATAATATGCAAGGACAAACAAAGAGATACACATTTGAAGAAAATGTGTGTGGTAAAGAGAAAAATTATTTTCAAGGTTATTTATTTTATTTTGCGGAAAAGAGCGGGATGCTCGAAAAATTGAAAATATTTTAAATTAAACATGGACTTTCTCCTTAGAAAGCAATTTCCTTTCCTTGGGAAGGAAGGTATTTAAGTCGGAAGAATAAGAGAAATATTATGGACGAGTAGGTACGTACTTGGAATTAACTGAAGGAAAGTACAAGTGCTGAGAGGCAGAGAATCCAAATGAGCATTCCAGAGAGCAGTAAATCTAATTTTCATTGAATTTAGACTGACTAAAATAAAAGTGCAACAAAGAAAAGAAAAAAGAAAAAGAGAAAACCCATCCAGTTTCACAGCACATTTACAAAGCTCTTAAGGGGCAGAAAACGTCATTTGGCAAAAGACCACAATAAATGTGTAAAAGATTGTTGCGGGCGAGAAAAAAACCAGGGGGAAACTGTGAAAAGATATGGAGAGTCAAGTCTGGCATTTTCTTGCGAGCCAGTACATGTCTCAAGGACCCAGGCGGCTGAAATCTTTTACATTTAAGGCTGTGTCTATAGTAAATAACAGTACTAAACAAAATATTACTTTTTCGCCCTTGCAAGAGCCATGGAGCATCCACAAAGGGCCAAGAGGATGGGAAATGCGCACAGCTGAGCCTGCCGCCTTTGGCCCGGGTGCCTCCAGCCAAAGCTCTCTCCAGGGTCCCCAGCTGGGAGGAACGTGATATGGCCTCGGAATCGGGACGGGGGAGAGGCCATCCTACTGTAGCTCTAGGTCTCTTATAAACAGAATTAGCATTACCTTGGGGCAGCCTCTGTGCAGCGGTTCTGATGACTCCCCTAAAGCTGGCTGGCAGTGAGGCCCAGGCGCCCCATTGCCCCCGCCTCGGCTGTGCCGCGGTGGCCAATTGTGCGAACTTAATAGTGTGTCTGCAGTGTAACATATAACATAGTTTCCCTGGCTGAAAATGTTCGTACTTGTTTTTTTATTAATATTCACCCTGCGCTTGATTCGATGACTTTAGGGAATGGATTTTCTTTCTTTCTGTTTAAACATTCAGAACACAGCCCGTGTCGTGAGCTCATTTTTTGGTGCATGTGCTCGCAAACGTACTTTTAAGCCTAATTAGGATGCTAACAAAATATTCTTCTCTCTTTTTTATCCTTTAGATAGAATTCTGTCACGGTCCCCCCCGTCTCTGAAAACCTTGGGAAACCCATTTGCTCTGATCAAAAGAGAACTCCAAGCTGTAAATAAGTTTGTTGTGTTTTTTTCATTAGAAATTTGTTCTGCAATCGGCTTGAAGAGGTCAGGGGAACGTCTGCTTTGCGTCTGCCATGGACGGAGAATCTGCGTGGACAAGGGCATTTCCAGCCTCAGCCCTCTGGAAGGATGTTTGCCTTCCCTGTTGGGAACGACAACACGGTCATCAAGCCTGACAAGCTATCTAGACAGAGGGGTTCGGTGTTTCTCTGGCTTAAAAAAAATAAGTTCTCAAGGAGCAAGAAATGACAGGTGACTTCATTTTCAAATAGCAGGTGAACTTTACCTCTTTAGCACGTTGAGGATGCTAATGGGTAGATAGCAGATTGCAAACACCAAAAGCACCACCATGAGCATGCGGGCTGTTTTCCGTCTGGCTCGGATCTGCTTTATTTCGGCAGCCACTGCGCTGATCCTGGACTTGGTCTGCTGCCCTGGCCCTCGAGGCTGTGGAGCCGGCTGCAGCGGCTTCCATTTCCTCTGAACGACAGATGACGTCCCAGGGATCTGAAAGAAGCGGAGACCCTCTGTTGCTATCTGACTTCGGAAAGTCCCACTTTGGAGAAGTAATTGTACGACACAGTACAGAGAGTGCCCCAGACACCGGTGGTCTGAGAGGTTCGAGGGCCTGTTTCCCCAGAACATTTGCTGAATGGAGCTGTTCTTGAGTAATCCATTCAAGTGCCAAATAGGAGTTTGAATGGAAAAAAAAAAAAAATGTGGAAACATCACAATTTTGTCAAGGTCTAAAGAGAGCTGCAAACGGAAAATAGATCTCTTTATAAAAAGAGAAGTTGTATATCCAGACAATGGGATATTATTCAATGCTATAAAGAAATCAGCTATGACGCCATAAAAAAGAGGAACCTTAAATGCGTATTGCTAAGTAAAAGAAACCAACCTAAAAATGCTGCGGAGTATATGATTCCAACTGCATGACACCTTGGGAAAGATAAAACTATGAATACACTGAAAAGGTCAGTGATCACCAGGGGCTGAAGCGGGGAGGGATGACTAGGCAAAGTACAGGAGATTTTTAGGGTAGTGAAAATACTCTGTATGATACCGTAGTGATGGATACATAGTGATGGATCTCTTATGCAATGTGTTTGGATACAGTGTCCAGTCCCATAGAATGTACACCACCAAGAGTGAACCATAAGGTAAAATATAGACTTTGGGTGATTATGATGTGTCAGCGTAGGTTTATCGATTGTGACCACTCCGCTGGGGGACACTGATAACGGGGAAGCTGTGCATAAGCAGAAGTGGGGCAAATGGTAATTCTCTGTAACTTCTACTCAGTTTTGTTCTAAACCAAAAGAGCTCTAAACAAAACAAAAAACAAAATAGAAACAAGCAAACTCTTAATTTAAAAAAAGAGAGAAAAATGAAAACTGGGTTAGAACAGTAAGGGGATAACAACCATATTATCTACTTAGGAATCCTGGTTCAGCTCCAATACCTAAGTTTAAAGAGAAGGAAAATCTGGCAGGTAACTGCAAGTCACCTGAATGGATTTTTTTTATGTATCACTACTGCCACCTGCTGCCAGATGGAGGGATATAACAACCTTTTGCTTTTTACTAGGTTTTCTGCTTCTCAAGTTTGGCCAATGCAAACCTTTGAACGAAGGGAATATGTTGCTTACTACATATTGTTATGAAATTGCTTGAAACCAGTTTTATGGTCTGGCACTTTAACATGCACACAAAAGCACTAAGAATCCCTTGTGGTCTTACATTAACATTTCAAATACCTGGAATTTGTAAAGACAGTTATACAACTTGTACTTTTCCATTTCTTTTCAAAGTTATTTGATAAAAGCAGGGAGTCCCTCCAAGTATAATATTTTCTTAATTATAAGCTCATGCTGATTGATAGGGTTTAGTGAGCAAAACAATAAAATTCAGCATGTGTAATTTTTCAAAAAGGAAAATGTGCCAGCAAGCACACCACAGGGTCAGTCTTAGTTCTATTAAGATCATTCAGCTGTTGTTTTTATGACTGAGCTGCAAACCCGGACAGATCAATGTGTCCCTGTGGCCTCTCAGAATGGATGTTGGTGGATTCTCTTGCTTTATACATCACAAGATCCATGTCTGTTAGATAATCTCTAATTTGAGAACAGAATTTTACTCTGATGCTCACACGGATGAATTAATATGATGCTCCTTTTGACCATAACTATTCTCTCTCAAAAAGGAGCAAGTGAAGTTAATAAAAACCTGCCCTTAAATAGAAAAAAAAATAGAAAATAATTTCTCTTCTGACTCTATACAGACTGACCTTTTCATATAGTGGTGGCCCCCTCCATCTTCTTACCGTTGGTTGGCAGGAGATAGGAGTTGAGAATCTTTCCTACTCTGTGAGTCTCTTTTTAAATAGACATTTAAAAAAAATTTGAGTAGAAGCTGCAATGGGAAGTTCCAGAAGACCTTTAGCATGAGTAACCCTATCAATGTCTGCTAAATGGCCTTGAACTGTTTCTAAATGATCTCTGAGAGATCATTTGAACTTTAGCAATTGTATTATGGAGTGCTCCCCTGAAGGAGAGGTTCAACAGTCTGCATCTGATGACTTCTGCAACCATCACAAACAGTTCCCATGAAGAGAATCTGTCACAGGGAGTATGGCTCTGGTCCCAGCAGCCAGGGGAAAAAAAAAAGATTTGATAACATCCCCTTTTGTTTCTTGGCTAATTTAAAGGCTTATCATTATCTCTGATCTTTTAAGAGAACTTTCAGTTTTATTGAATTTTTTTGTTTTAGTTTTTAATAAATATGTTTATTTAAGCACAGTTGGCATACAATATTGTATCCATTTCAGGCGTACGACATAGTGATTCGACATTTATATGCCTTAACATGTGATCACCACAATAAGTCTAGGATCCAACTGTCACCGTACAGTTATCGCAGAATTGCTGACTATATTCCCCTTCGCCTTTTCCACCCATCCCTCCACCCCCTCCCCTCTGGCAAGCATCAGGTCTGGCAAATCTGGTTTGACTTTTTAAATGTTTATTTCCTTTTGATTGAGTTTATTGGGGTGACACTGGTTAATAAAATTATACAGGTTTCAGGTGCACAATTCCACAACACATCATCTATACACTGTATTGTGTGTTCACCTCCCCAAGTCAAGCCTCCTTCCATCACCATTTATCCCCCCTACACTCTCCTCCCCCCACCCCGCACCCCCCCAGTCACCACACTGTCTCCCTGCCCGTTTGAATTTTTTATTGTTTTCCTATACTTTATTTGCACTCTAATCTTTATCATTTACTTCATACTCTTTGCTTTAGTTTTCAATTTTTTTTCTATTTCTAATTTCTGAAGGTAGAATCTTATATTATTGATTTGAGATTTTTTTTTAAGATAGCAATTTACAGCTGTAAATTTACTTCCAAGCACTTCTTTTGCTTCATTTCATAAATTTCGGTAATTGTGTTTTCATTTTCATTCATTTCAAAGTATTTTCTAATTTCTCTTATGATTTCTTCTTTTACCTGTTGGTTATTTAAAAGCTCAATGTTTAATTTTCATATATTTGTGAATTTCCTAATTTTTTTTCTATGGGTTTTTTTGGGTATAATTCCATTGTAATAGAATAATGTACTTTTTACTATTTCAATCATTTTATTAATGTACATTTTTATTATTTCAATCACTTTAAGTGTTTTTAAGCTTACTTTATGGCCTGTCATATGATCTGGGCTGGAGAAGGTTCCATATGCTCTTGGGATGAATGCAGCAGTTTCCTGTTTTTTGACAATTATTTCATAGATATTTCTAGGTCTATTTGGTTGATAGTTCTTTAAAGTCTTCTATGCCCTTATTGATCTTCTGACTAGTGTTTCTACCTATTACTGAAAAAGGAGTATTGAAATTTTCAACTATTACTGTTGAATTTTAGTTTCTCCCTTTGATTCTATAGTGTTTGCTTCATGTGTTGTGGGTGTCAGCTGTTAAATGCAGATAAGTTTACAATTTTTATATTTTCCTGAGAGATTGACTTATCATTGTGAAATGTCCCTCTGTATCTATAGCAGTACTTTTTGTTTAAGTCTCTTTTGTCTAATATTAGTTTGGCTACTCCAGCTTTCCTTTTGGGTACAATATTTTGCATATAACCTATTTGTCTTTGAATATGAGCTGTGTCCCCTATGGATAGCATAGAGTTGAATCACTGTGTTTTGTTTGTTTTGTATATCCTGCTAATCTCCGGAGTGTTATATTCACTTATATTTAATGGGATTATTGAGAAGGTATAATTTACATCTGCCATTTTGCTATTTGTTCTCCCAATATATTATGTCTATTTTGTTCCTTCATTCTTCCATTGCTGCTTTATTTTGTTAAATAGATATTTTCTAATAGATCAATTTAATTATCTTACTGTTTCTTTCTGTTTAGATTAATGCCAACATTTTTCATCTAGTTTTCTTATTATTGTGGTTAAATCTACATAACAAAGCTTACAACTTTGCCCTTTATTAAATAACTAAGACAAAAAATATTCTTCAATTAGAGTTGACATACAATATTATTTTAGTTTCAGGTGTACAACATAGTGATTAGAGATTTATATACCTTACCAAGTGATCACTGTGATAAATCTACTACCCATCTGAAACCATACATAGTTATTACAGTATTATTGACTATATTTCCTATGCTATATTTTTACCCTCATTGCTATTTTTATAACTGGCAATTTATATTTTTTAATCTCTTTCATAATTTTCATTCATCCCCCCAACCTTCCTCCCATCTTGAGACCATCAATTTTTTCTCTGTATCTATGAGTTTGTTTCTGTTTTGTTTGTTTGTTTTGTTCTTAAGATTCTACTTAACATTGGTCTTAGTAATATTTTGTTTGATATGTCTCCTAAGTCAAAGTCAACAATAGCAAAAGCAAACAAGTGGGACTACATCAAACTAAAAAAGAAACCAATAAAACAAACAACCAACTAAATGGGAGAAGATATTTGTAAATGATATATCTGAAAAGGGATTAATGTCCAAAATATGTAAAGAACTCATATAGCTCAATATATATATTTAAAAAAAACCCCAAAAACAATTGATTAAAAAATGGGCGGAGGACATGAATAGACAGTTCTCCAAAGGGGACATGCAGACAGCCAACAGGAATGTGAAAAGATGCTCAACATCGCTAATCATCAGGGAAATGCAAGTCAAAGCCACGACAAGATATCACCTCACACCTGTCTGAATGGCTACCACTAATAAGTCAATAAACAGCAAGTGTTGGGGAGGCTGTGGGAGAAAGAGAACTCTTGTGCATTGTTTGTGAGATTCTAAATTGGTGCAGCCACTACGGAAAACAGTATGGAGGTCCCTTAAAAAATTGAAAATAACTACTGTATGACCCAGCAATTCCACTTCTGGTTACTTATCTGAAGAAATCCAAAACACTAATTCCAAAAGATATATGCATCCCTGTGTTCACTGAAGCATTATTTACAGTAGCCAAAATAT